CTCAAGCACTGTCCCCCGCCCCCGGCAGGGTCACAAATCCTGGTCCTGGGACCACGGAAAGTGTCAAGCACTGCCGCTTGGATCCCCCAGGTCACAGCCTCAAGCGCTGCCCCCTGCCTGGCAGGGTCACAGATCCGGGTCCCGGACTGCGAACAGCCTCAAGCACTGCCCCCCACCCGGCAGGGTCAAAGATTAGGGTCCTGGGACCGCGGACAGACTTGCCCACTGCCGCTCACCTTCAGGATGCAAATTAGCCACCATCTTGTTGCTTCAGGGTGGGGGTCCCCACTTGGGTGCCTGGCCAGTCTGGGTGAGGGGATGATGGCTGTTTGCAGCTGGTCACACCCCCTTCAGGGTGGGGGTTCCCCTCTGGGGTGCCTGGGCAGTCTGGATGAGGGGATTATGGCTGTTTGCAGCTGGTCACACCCCCTTCAGGGAGGGGGTCCCCACTAGGGTGCCTGGCCAGTCTGGGTGAGGGGCTGAGGGCCGTTTTCAGGCTGGTGGGCGACTGAAGCTCCCAACATCTCTTTTTTTTCTTTTTTCTTTTATTCTGGGATTTATTTACCTTCTATGGCTGTCACTGGAACTGAGAGCCGGCTTTAATTCTGAGGCTCGGCTGCAACTCTGAGACCTCGGCTGCAGCTCTGAGACCTCGGCTGCTGAAAGCAGGTACTGGGTTTGTTTGGGTTCTATAATTGAAACACTGTTGCGGTCCTGCTGGCTGAAGCCCTGCTGGCTGAAAGCAGGTTTCTGGAGTTTGTTTAGCTTCTATACTTGCAACATTGTTTCTTAGAGTGCAAGCTCAGAGGCCAGCAGCAGCAGGCAGGGAACCTTGGCTTCCTCCATCACTGGAGCAAGCAAGCCTCCTGTTCGCTTCAGTGCCTAGCTGCCGGCCGCCATCTTGGTTGGCAGTTAATTAGCATAAGGATATGCTGATTAGCCAATGGGAAGGGTGTCAGGGTTATGGTCAATTTGCATGTTTCTCTTTTATTATATAGGACTAGAGGCCCAGTGCACAAAAATTTGTGCACTCGGGGGGAGGGGGGTCCCCCAGCCCGGCCTGTGCCCTCTCGCAGTCTGGGACCCCTCGGGAGATAACGACCTGCTGGCTTAGGCCTGCTCCCGGGTGGCAGAGGGCACGCCCAATCCCTAGGTGCAGCCCCTGGTCAGGCTCAGAGCAGGGCCAATTGGGGAGTTGGGGCGCCGCCCCGTCAGGCACAGAGCAGGGGCGGATCGGGAGGTTGCGATGCCACCCTCAGTCACGCTCAGGGTAGGGCCAATTGGGGGGGTTGGGGCACCGCCCCCTGTCACACTCAAGGCAGGGTCGATGGGGAGGTTGTGGCGCCACCCTCTGTCACGCACAGAGCAGGGCCGATCAGGGGGTTGGGGCGCTGCCCCCTGTGTCACTCACAGGAGCAGGGCCGATCAGGGGGTTTGGGGCTCCGGTACCCTGTCACAACACAGAGCAGGGCAGATCAGGGGGTTG